CGCACTAACCACCAGGTGGGACAAGATATGGGCAACCGGCGTCGTGGTATCAGCCGAAGCCTTCTAGACGTCAGTGACTGAGCGGCGCGCGCCGATTGGACTAGAACGCCTGCTCTTGTATTAGGGAGGCTATGTCTGTTTACGGCCGCCCACGCAACATGTAGGTGTGCAATGGGCAATGGGCCCAGACCCCTGCACGCTTAGGATTTAGCCCGGCGTGCTGACCTCTCTGTCAGGCCTAGGTAGGGCTGCGACGTGTTGATCTCCCGAGGCCGGACATGACCCAAGAAAGTGTGCCCGGCCAGAGGGATCGAGCGTGTCGGGAAATGTGGTGCACCCCTGCAGGGAAGTTGATCTATTCGAATAGCCATGTCCATGGTAATAGGCGACCCAGAGTTGTACCTTGACATTATGATAACTAGAATCGGATACTTAATAAAACACACCCAGACAAGTCCAGAGACAACCCGGTGATCGCTTTCCCACAGGGCGAGGGGATGATCGCCGGGTAGGATTATGCTATGCGATGATACTTGGAGAACTTCAATCTACTCTCTTCTACATGCTGCAAGATGGAGGCTGCCAAAAGCGTAGTCTTCGATATAGGACTAGCTATCCCCCTCTTATTCTGGCATTCTGTAGTTTAGTCCACCGATATTGCCTCTTTACACATATACCCATGCATATGTAGTGTAGATCCTTGCTTGCGAGTTCTTTGGATGAGTACTCACGGTTGCTTTGCACCCTCTTTCCCCATTTTTCCCTCTTCTTCTCGGATGCCGCAACCAGGCGTTGGAGCCTAGGAGCCAGACGCCACCGTCGATGATGACTCGTACTACACTGGAGGTGCCTACTACTACGTGTAGGCTGCTGACGACGACCAGGAGTAGTTTAGGAGGATCCCAGGGAGGAGGCATGCGCCTCTTTCGATCTGTATCCCAGTTTGTGCTAGCCATCTTATGGTAACTTGTTTAACTTATGTTTGTACTCAGATATTGTTGCTTCCGCTGACTCGTTTATGTTCGAGCACTTGTATTTGAGCCCACGAGGCCCCAGGCTTGTAATATGATGCTTGTATGACTTATTTTACTTTTAGAGTGGTATTGTGATATCTTCCTGTGAGTCCCTGATCTTGATCGTACACATTTGCGTGCATGATTAGTGTACGATTGAATCGGGGACGTCACAATTTGCTCCTTTTCCAGCCCAGAATTCAAGCTGCCGGCATTCTCTCTCTTCATGTAAACCTTGTAAAATAAGAGAGAAAAGGCATAAGTATTGTGACATAATGTGTAGTAACAGCCCATAATGCAATAAATATCAATATAAAAGCATGATGCAAAATGGATGTATCAACTCCCCCAAGCTTAGACCTCGCTTGTCCTCAAGCGGAAGCCGAAATCCAAAACTATGTCCACATGTTTAGAGATAGAGGTGTCGATACAACAAAATACGGACATGAGGGCATCATGATCATTCTTAGAACAACAATATGTATATTGTCATATGTTTTCTTATGCTAAAGTAACAATCTATTCACAATGTAAAGTATGAATCAGAAACTTCATTGAAAACTAGCAAACTATAATCTCAGTCATTGAAGCAATTGGAATTTATCATAACATCGGAAAGAGTCGATATAAGAGCTTTTCAGCAAGTCCACATACTCAACTATCATTTAATATTTCACAATTGCTAACACTCACGCGATACTTATGGGTATGAGGTTTTAATCGGACACAGAGAAATATAGGGGCTTATAATTTTGCCTCCCAACCTTTTACCTCAAGGGTAATGTCAACAATAATGCTTTATGAAAACACACATCCAATTGGATATATATATATATATATATATATATATATACACATCTGGGCTATTCTGTTACGCATAACAGAATATTATTCTGTTACCCTTTTTGAACTGATGAATTCGAGGGGTTGAACTAATGCTCTCATTTTTGTCGAACTGATCGTCTTCTTTATGAATTGATGCTCTCAGTTTGGACCTGTGTTACTGGGCTCATGGCGTTTTCATCCCTGCAGCGTAATAGCCACAGCCGCCGCTGCCGTCGAGGAGCTCGAGTTGCTCGCCCTGAGGGCCTTCACGGACGCCGAAATGGACCGCCACGACCTGGGCGCGTCCGGTGAGATCGACAAGACACCGTGCGAGGCCGCCGCGCCGGGCATGGAGTCGGAGCTGGCGGCGGCGGAGCCGCCATGGCGCGAGCATGTGACAGTCCGCGGGATGGTGGCGGCGTTGCTCATCGGCATGGTGTACACAACGATCGTCATGAAGCTTAGCCTCACCACGGGCTCGTCCCCACGCTCAACGTCTCCGCCGCGCTGCTCGCGCCTTAGCTCAAATCAACATGGTCGCATTAGTTGCAGGCACGGGCGAGGTATCGTGCCGAATAGCGAGGCATCGAGGGCGCCACAGTCAAATTAAATCCCCGCGGATCCAGCGCGTAGCAGGGAGGAGAAGAGCACGCAGAAATGCAAGACCAACAGTCGTCTCCAACATGATGGCACCGTCCACTTGCAAGGAAGGAGTGATGGAGTGCGGTGATTTAGGCGTCTATCTCCTCATCCACTGCCATCGACTGCCCCTCCGTGACTCGTTGGCCATCCTGTCAGGGATGTCGATCTTGTGGGAAGGAGAGAGCTTGGAAAGGGGAGGGGTAGCAGAGAGTTAGGGATGAGACAGAGGATGCAGCAGACGGCGGCTTCTCACGGCTGTTAGCCGAACCCCTTGCAAGACAGCGGCAGCACAACGCAGTGCTGTGCGGACGAATGCGGCCAAGAGACGGCGGGTGGGGATGAAATCGGAGCCGAGAATGCATCGGCGACAGCCGGAGGCAGGCTACGACGATGACTGGTGGGTGCAGGTAGCGACTAGCGAGGGATGGATCGACGGTGGCCTGTTGCCCTTTCTCTCGTCCGCTCTCTCTGTTTCTCTGGAAGAACGAAGAAAAGGAAAGAGGAGAAATTGCTGGTGGACAGCGTTAAAAGGTTTGTATGTGTTACTGAATATAGCTGTTCTTGTCAAGGACTAGTTCAGGCACAACAACTTAGACTATCCCCTCCGTTTATGTCCAGGCCTTCCTCTGCATTGCACTGCTCCTTGCTTTCACAAACATGACTTTACTTTGTATTCCTCACTGCTATTTGGTCGATTTTGAAGTTCTAGTTTTTCTGTCCTTGAACTTACCCAAATTTTTTCCTAGTAAAATGTGCACTCTCTTTTGGAAGCAGAGTGTATGAGCGTTCACATAGAGTAATTGAACTTTTGAGCACTTTTTCTATATAAACATCCTTTTTTCTAACCCTTGTTTATTAACTTCATGTGGAAGTGCCACATTTTCTTTCGCATGTGAAACTTTTTTGCCGTGCGGGTTTTGGACTTATCTGTCTTTCTAGTTTGAACTCACCCGACAATTTTTTTAACTAATGATAAAGCACATAGTGAACGTCTACACTTAGTGTATGTTTACTTGTACAACCACGGGAGTATACTATGTGAAAATTTATTATATAAACATTTATTCACAAAATACAAAGAAGTCCATAAAGAGTGAGTAGGGCATTTCGGTTCCCAGGCTCATCTGCATCCAGTTAGAAAAAAAATTCTCGAGTAATGCAATCTGTAGCAAATTTCCACGTTGAACTTTCCTAGTTCAGATCATCGAACTCTCCCAGTCGGCGATGCTTCTCTCAGGACGGAATCCAGTGGACGCTACACACGGAAAGCCCAGAGTGGCAATGTTAGTACTTCCCAAGGTGTTGCAACTGTACTCACTATGGCGATGTGTTTGTACTGCCCAAAAACATACGCAAGAGCACAAAGTAAACATTTTTTAAAACTTGTGCTCACAGGAATAGTGACAACACCTAAAGAGCATGTTATTTTCCTTGGATCCATTGACGGACTTCCTCAAATTCGTACCGATCAATGTTTTTAATTCAAACAAATTTTCCTTTCTTGCGCAAACATCTAACTATTATGTACACTTTCTTTAAGAAGTAGCAATCAAATCATCATAGACAGAAAATTTAAATTTGCAGTTAGTGCTATGTGTATGGATTCCATGTTTTGGACGTCCTCATTGTCTGCCTCATGTACTTCATCCTCAACCTGGCGGTGTCCTTCGTGCTAGTGATCCGCGGCGTCATAGTGAGCTAGTGACAGCGTCCGTCCAAACCTCTCTCGTGCTGCAGTACAGAGAGAAACAAAATAGTGAGAGAAAAGAGCAGTAGAGAGAAACTAATTAGAGGTGAGCTAAAAAACATTAAATTATTCTAATAAATTCCTATGGTCAGTAATATCCATAGTGAAGCTTGGCTCTATATAGTACTGATCAGTACTAGTATTGTGTAAGTAGTAATGATCAGTACTGCTACTTTTGTCTTACTAATAAGCACTCGTACTAATCTAGCTAACACAACTAATTTTTCATCTAGTGGACTTTTAACATTATACTAGAAAACGTGAGCTAGAAAATATATAACTAGATTAGAATAGAAGCATTGGCTTATATTAGAAACGATGAGCTACAAAATAAACAACCAGATGTGAATTTGCAAGTCAGGTTTACTGTTTTTGAATTTGATGCATGTTGCACTATAGGACTGCTACGGGTTTGCAAGTTGGACTTGAGTACTTTTAAATTGTTTGCATAGTTTAGTGCCGAAATCCTCACCACAAAAGAACACATTTGCATTACTAATTGCATATAGCAAAACTGAACTTTCTGCGTCTACTGTTGTTTTTACAGAGTGGACTTATGTTTTCTTATGTACTTGAACTGTTAAAGTTTTTGAAAATTACCACTATCACACTTGTTATACTTGAAAACCCTAGCCAGACTAGGCACCCCCCAAATCCCACACAACAAGGCATGTTATATGTATTTTTCACGAACGGATGATTGTTCACATACTGAACTGAGAGCACCTAGTTTTTGTTTCAGGAATTAAAATAGACGTCCTGAGCACCCCGTTTCAGCAAATGTTTGTGCTATAATTCAACAATAAAGAATATAGATAAGCAAACACCTACTTTTATGGAGAATGTACCATTTTTGACGACCTTCATGTGACCAGCGGTGCTGGAGGTGATCTCGTGTCTCCTGCTGCTGCAGGTCGACGAGGAATAGGCGTGAAAGTGAAAACAAAACCAGTGAACAGAGTGGGAGTAAGCGGTGGTCGACCGACAGATGGAGCCCCACAACTCATGCACCCGCGTCCAGCGCCGACCGCCGCCAGCCCAGCCAAACTCCATGAGGTCCACCTGCGCCACATTGCCATCATCGTACTCCATCGGGATCTCCATGTACATTGCGTTCCACACCTCAACGTGGAAGCCCACCTTCAGCCAGGAACTTGCTTGGGAACCAACAGCTTGATCATAGACCACACTCGTCCTTGTGGGACTGCCATAAGCGTCGAGGTCAAACTGTTGCACAAAAGAAAATCAGGAACTCACGGGATGTAGGGTCAAAATGTTGCACAAAAATATGTTGTTTCTCTTTTTGCTCAGACATTCCCACAAACATACCAAGTACACAGGTTGAACTGATATCGTGCACAGCACGAACTTGCTCGAGGGTAGGTTGGGAGCTACGAGTGGAGCAACACATGGAGGTGAACTTCGACGCAGAGGCTACATAAAAAGAGGAAGGGGAAATGCCAGACCTCACCAGTGCATCGTTGAACGGCCTCTGTGTCACTGGTGAACAGACTGGTGCCGGCGGTGAACGGCTTGGGCGCCGCGGTGGCGCGAGGGTGGCCAGGGTGAGGGTGGTTCTTTTTCAAACTGGTCGTGGTTTGTTTTTTGAACTTATCTAGTTTTAAGATATGAACTTCCTAGCACAATTCTTTTTCGTCCATACAAGTTTACTAACCAAAATGACTGCAATACAGGGAGGAACGAAATTGTATACCAGGAGAAGTACATGCTCACGGAGCTCCTTCTAATCAGTGGCACTGACGGGGTGTTAGAGGATGGTCGTGAGCCTGCAAATCCAGTGAGGGAACTGAAACCAGCAGTAGCAGAGTACTTTGTCAAACCAGGATTGCGTATACAAGTTTGTTGAAATGGGGCGGTGAAGTCTCACTAGCAGTACTTCTCATGTAGTAATACATGGACTTGCTGTTAAATACACATGGACCTGCTATCTTTGCCACTTCTCTTGCACTTCTTAACCGTCTTTCGCTTCGCCTCTCCATCGGCCATCAGACCGTGAAGGGAACATGTGATCATGCTTGTCAAATATGTGCTTCAGGTGTAGAGCCATCCATGTCTCAATACAACTGATGTCCGGAGCTTCAAAAAACAAGAATGCGCAATGGACTTCACTGCCCTATCCAAGATTTTTGTTGCATTACCTCTTCTCCATCTTACTATCAGTTCTACACCTAAAGATAAGTCAGACAACTCCAAGCTTGCTTTAGCAACATTGGATTAGACACGTATGTTTTAGTGCTGATTAATTACCTGATGATTGAGCAGCTGATGGTTGGGGCTTTGCTTTCTTTTTCTTGCATGACAGTGGGTTTGGGCCCTGCAGAAGGACTACCAAAATGTTAATGCTGCCCACTAGATCATAACAAGCAAATATAGCCGTGCTCGTGCATATGACGAATATCTGAAAAAACAGTAGATGAAGATACAACCTTTGCTCTGTTCGTCAAGCAATTTCAGCTAGTGGTCCGCAAGCAATTTCAGAACACCATGCATTTTTCAGCTAGTGAAACATGTGACGAAGAACTGAACTCAAAAAACAAGATTTTTGGAGATGGAAGAAGGCGTCGGACGTCAGGTGAACCTGCTACCCCTACTCCTGTGGACTGACGGCTCCGGTGAAGTGGAGCTGATGGAGGCGGGGTTCATGAGCAGCGGCTGGGTGCACCGGGATTTGGCCGCTATAGGGGATCCGCTACCCCTATTCCTGTGGACTGACGGCTTCGGTGAAGTGGAGCTGATGGAGGCGGGGTTCACGAGCAGCGGCTGGGCGCGCTAGGATTTGGCTCTGTAAAGATGAAGTGCAAATCACATTAACAGGAAATAAAATAGATGATAGTTTGTGTTTTCAGGAAATAAAATAGATGATAGTTAATTATGATGATATCGCAACATTTCTTCCCACAATAGAAATTTTATCTCCTGAATCTTAACAGAGTATAGCCCCAAACCTGTCAAAGCTTATGCAAACACTACAGTAGTACAACCACAAAGTATACAAATTATAAGGTGGACTTGTCGAGTTGGCTTCTCTGAACTTGTTTTTTTGGTCTGAACTATTCTGAGTTTTTATGTCAATATATAGTGGTCAGCATATTACAACGTTTAGCAACAACAAATTACAATACAAGATGAACTGAAAAAAGCATAAAAACCTACAAGGTGAACCTGAAAAAGCCTACGAGGGTAACTGAAAAAGGCCTACAAGGTGAACTGAAGGGTGCATCGATCTGGTGCGACATTGGGGGTTCGGAGGTGAATGGCCTATGGTTGCATCGTTGAACGGCCGATGGTGGCGGAGGTGAACGGCTTGGGCGTGCGGCCCCTAAATTAAATGGAGTTCTAACAATTATGAAGTAAAGACAGCCATCCTTTTTTGGAGAAATTCTTGCACAGAGTATGCATTAAGGGCTCAGAGTTTTGCCCTCGATTCAACATCCATTCAACAGCTGCTTCTTGATGAGGAAAAGGCTTAAGCTTCATGCAAGGCATAATTACTCTGGGAGGTAATTATGTGTCTATATTCACAGCAGTACTGTAAAAATAAACTATAGACAGTATGCATTTTGCCTAGCTAGAGTACAGTGCTAACGGTTGGCAACTCTTCTGAAATGCAGATGATTATAACTTCACCTAGTACCCGGTTGTGGAGAAGAGACTAGCACAGGCCGGCGACAGACTGGCGCTGATACTCAACTAGGTATCTGACAAGAAGAAAGTAGATGATATGCCATTATACGTACAGTAAAAGAGCTATACTTGTTCAAAAAGTATATATATACTCGCTGGAAAGTATTGTAGCTTCCGATGCCACGCCAGTTTGATCAGTTACCACTTCAGTAGGCTTACGCGTTCTGTAATAAGAATCACACAACCTTGGCACAACACTCAGAAATTCAATTGTTGTGAAGTTGTAATATAAACCCGCTATTAGTCTATTTGCTTGAACAAATGGCGCACCAAGTCAATTTTATTCATATATCTGAATCACACCATATGAGCCATCTAAACAGCAGGGGTCTGCCTACACGCAATCGGTCGTTAGTGATATTGACCTGTGGAACCCACCAGTTCCTTAATGAGTGTGTGAGCAGCGTTCCTGATGGGGCAGAAGAGCAGGCACAGTGAAACCATGAGCGGCGTTCTGCCTGATCTCGACGCCCTCATGGTACCTTGTCTGCATTGCCAGGCAGAACAAAAAAAACATGAACATCTACCTCATCAGTCCAAACACATACACCTGAAAGTGAAAAAATGGCCAACAGACGTTGCGGCGAAAAGTTCGACGGCAAGGAGATGGATCCAGGCAGAGGCGACTACAACGCAACTACAGGCAAGATCAAGGAACCAAACATAGATGATACATTTTTTTGAGGCACAAGAACGTCAAGGCAATGCACAATGCTACTGAATTCTAGTATTGCGGCAAGAGTATAGAGCCAGTATATAGTACTGAATGTGAGGTCTGACCTCCGGGAGCCAGTACAGTACTTATAACACACGTACTATAGAACTGCTACATGTTTGCAAGTTGGACCTGAGTATTTGTTAAATTTTTGCATAGTTTACTGCCGAGATCTTCACCTAAAAAGAACACATCTGCATTAGTACTTGCATAAGCAAAATTGAACTTTTCGCGTCTACTGTTGTTTTTGCGGAATGGACTTGTGTTTCTTATGTACTTGAATTGTTAAAGTTTTTTTATTTTTTCCACTGTCACACTTGCTATAATTGAACTTTTGTCAGACTAGGCATCTCCATTCACACAGAGAACGGTATCAAATTTCACTAATTTTTGGCAATATGACAGGAAATTTCACATACTAGGGAGCAGTAACATCACATGAGACAGAGAGAGCAGCAACCTACCATGTTTCTGGAAGAGAGGAGCCCACGAGCCGCGCTGACGGACAGAGGCCAGGGGACTGCTAGCTCAGTGAACAGTAGGCCCGACTGTTCAAGGGATGACGTGCGGCAGTTCGAGCTAGCGCGTCCGGCCGTTTGAGCTCGGGTGGGTGGTTGTCTGCTGCGTCCTGGAAACAAGCGGCGGTAGGGGATCCATGGGTGGCCGCACTAGGGTTAGAGGGGGCGACGCGCAGGGGTGAGAAGGGCGGCGCGACGGCGCGCAGGGGTGAAAGAGCGGCACGACGGCACCCAGGGGTGAGAGGGGCGGCACTGCGGCGTGCTGCCCTGAGGGGGGGCGCCGCGGCCGCGCACTGGCTGAGAGGAGCAGCACAGCGGCGCGCGGGAGGGTTGTGAGGTTGGGCTGCGGAATTCATCGTCGGCCTCTATAAGGGACCGGGAGTAACAGAATAATACTCTGTTACTAGTAACAAAATAGCTCTGTCATATATATATATATATATATGTATATATATATATATCAGGATCTTTCCAACACATAGTGCTTGCCAAAGGATAAAGTGTAAAAAGGAAAGATGAAGATCACCATGACTCTTGTATAAGGTAGAAGACAAAAAAATAGAAGATAGGCCCTTCGCAGAGGGAAGCGAAGGTTTTCATGTGATTTTATGGTTGGATGCACAAAATCTTAATGCTAAAGAATGTCACTTTATATTGCCACTTGTGATAGGGACCTTTATTATGCAGTCTGTCGCTTCTATTTCTTCCATATCACAAGCTCGTATAAAGCTTATTTTCTCCACACTAATAGATCATACATATTTAGAGAGCAATTTTTATTGCTTGCAACAATGACAACTTACTTTGAAGGATCTTACTCAATCCATAGGTAGATATGGTGGACTCTCATGGCAAAACTGAGTTTAAGGAAATTTGGAAGCACAAGTAGTATCTCTACTTGGTGCAAAGAATTTGGCTAGCATGAGGGGGAAAGGCAAGCTGAACATGTTGGATGATCCAGGACAATATACTTTATTTCGAATATAAGAAAACATAACACATTACATTGTCTTCCTTGTCCAACATCAACTTTTTAGCATGTCATGTTTCAATGAGTGCTCACAATCATAAAAGATGTCCAAGATAGTATATTTATATGTGAAAACTTCTCTTTCTTTATTACTTCCTATTAATTGCAACGATGACCAAAACTATGTTTGTCAACTCTCAACAACTTTTATTCATCATACTCTTCATATGTGAAGTCATTACTCTCCATAAGATCAATATGATCTTTTTGTTTCTTTTTATTCTTTCTTTTATTCCCTCAAGATCATAGTAAGATAGCCAAACCCTCGACTCAAAACTAATCTTTATTATGTATAGGTCACGGACTCGATTACATAGATAGGGATCAACACAAAAACTCAAAGCTAGATAATACTAAACTTTATTCTACTAGGTTAAGATATAACCAAAAGGATTGAACTAAGAGAAACAGTAAAGATAAAGTGTGATGGTGATACGATACCAGTGCACCTCCCCCAAGCTTGGCAGTTGCCAAGGGGAGTGCCCATACCCATGTGTTTATGTCTCTTTCTTCAGAGGTGGTGATGATGGAGTTGTTGATGATGTAGGCTTGTCTTCCATCTTCCAAGGCATAGGCTCACCATCATAGAAGGATGATCAAGTCTCCGGGATCCTCAAATCTGCAGCCAAACTCATCCTCTTGAATCTATATTCATACTCACAGTTTTGGTTTTGCAGGTCGTAGATCTGGGCTTGGACGTGCTCGATTTTCTCGTGAAGCTTGAAGATGGTCTCCCCAATGTTCTTGGCATCCAGCGTGTGGTTGTTGGTGAACTCCGCGATCATCATGTGGTTGGCGTTGAGTCAGTGTTCCACCATCCCTTGGCACTTGAAAACTTGTTGCTCCATTGCTTCGAGTCTTGTCTCCACACTTCCGGTCCTCCTTGGTCCCTAAACATCGCGGATGTGTAGCACCCCCTCACGCATCAATTGTTTGAGGGTGTTGCAGCACCTCCGCGAGGTAGGGGTTGATGACCTTCTCGAAAAACTTGTCCTTGGGGGCGCTTGAAGACGTCATGGTGATCTAGATCTGTCAGAAAAACAGCTTGAAACAAAAGCAGAGGATTTTGTCATGGTACGGTGGTCAAAACCTTCGGGAGATTATATAATAAATTTTATCGACCAAAAGAAGTATCGTGCAAGAAAATAGAGTCCGGAAGGCACACAAGGTGCCCACGAGGCAGGGGGCGCGCCCAGGGGGTAGCACCCATATCACATAAGCCATGATAACAATGATCTCCTATTTTAACAGAAAAAACATGCATGCCAACAACAGGTCTATGTTTATTTTTAGTATCAGGTCTAGCAATTCTAGCAGCTTCATCACAGAAGTGAATAACATGCCCATCAATATTATCGACCAAGAGATCTTTAACCATACAAATACCAGGTTCAACTTTAATTTGTTCAGGGGGTGAAGGTGTTCTAGCATTACTATTACGAACCACAGTTGAAGCTTTAGCCTGATCCTTTATTCTAACAGGGAAAAGTGGTTTCTCAATATAAGCGGTAGGAACAATATGATCAACATTGTAAGTGATAGTCTTCTCTTCAACTTTAATAGGTTCTACTACTTTTACTTCAATGGGGGATGATATTTAAACCACTTCTCCTTAGGTAGATCAACATGAGTAGTAAATGATTCACAAAAAGAAGCTACTTTCTCAGAGTCAAGTCCATATTTAGTGCTAAATTCACGAAAAGCATCGGTATCCATAAAAGATTTAACACAATAAAACTTAGGTGTTATACCTGACTCCTTACCCTCATCAAGTTCCCAATCTTCATAGTTTCGTTTACTTCTTTCCAATAAATCCCATATGAATTCAATAGTCTTCATCATAAAAGAGCCAGTACAAGAAGTATCGAGCATGGAGCGATTGTAGAGAGAAAGCCGAGCATAAATTTTTTGAATAGTAATTTATCTTGAGAGCTCATGATTGGGGCATGAATATAACATTGATTTAAGCCTCCCCCAAGCTTGAGCAATACTTTCTCCGGCGTGAGGCTGGAAATTATATATATAATTACGATAACGATGAACCATATGTATATGATAAAACTTCTGATGAAATTCCAATTTCAATCGGTTGTAGTTCCATGATCCAATATCATCACATAGCCTAAACCATGTTAATGCCTTTACCTTCACAAATAAAGGGAAGACCTTCTTCTTGATAACATTCTTAGGCATACCTGCAAGCTTAAATAATCCACAAACTTCATCCACATAGATTAGGTGCATATCGGGATGTAATGTTCCATCTCCTGTAAAAGGATTAGCTAGCAGTTTCTCTATCATACCCGAAGGAATTTCAAAATAAACATTTTCAGTAGGTTGAGGAGCAACGTTTTGCTCTTCTGGTCGGGGTGAAGATACCCCGAACAAGCCCCTCAAAGGATTATTTTCCATAGTAACAAGTGATAGTAAATTTCAATACACTATATAAATTTTTCCTTACCAAATTCCACCTACCAAAGGCGCTTCATTCCTCGGCAACGGCGCCAGAAAGGAGTCTTGATGAACCACAAGTATAGGGGATCTATCGTAGTCCTTTTGATAAGTAAGAGTGCTGAACCGAACGAGGAGCAGAAGGAAATGACAAGCGGTTTTCAGTCAGGTATTCTCTGGAAGCACTGAAATTATCTGCAATAGATAGTTTTGTGATAAGATAATTCGTAACGGGTAACAAGTAACAAAAGTAACAAGGTGCGGCAACGTGGCCCAATCATTTTTGTACCAAAGGACAAGCCTGGACAAACTCTTATATAAAGCAAAGCGCTCTCGAGGACACATGGGAATTATCGTCAAGCTAGTTTTCATCATGGTCATATGATTCGCGTTCGCTTCTTTGATAATTTGATATGTGGGTGGACCGGTGCTTGGGTACTACCCTTCCTTGGACAAGCATCCCACTTATGATTAACCCCTCTCGCAAGCATCCGCAACTACGAAAGAAGAATTAAGGTAAACCTAACCATAGCATGAAACATATGGATCCAAATCAGCCCCTTATGAAGCAACACATAAACTAGGGTTTCAGCTTCTGTCACTCTAGCAACCCATCATCTACTTATTACTTCCCAATGCCTTCCCCTAGGCCCAAAAAATGGTGAAGTGTCATGTAGTCTACATTCACATAACACCACTAGAGTAAAGACAACATACATCTCATCAAAATATCGAACGGATACCAAATACACATGACTACTTA